TTTATCATTTTTTTTTTTTTGAGAAGAGGTCTCAATCTGTCACCCAGGCTAGAATGCAGTGGCATCATCACAGCCCACTGCAACCTCAAACTCCTGGGTTCAAGTGATCCTCCTGGGTCAGCCTCCTGAGTAACTGGAAGTATAGGTGCACACCACCGTGTCTAGCTAATTTTTCTAATTTTTTTAGAGATGGGGTCTCACTATGTTGCCCAGGCTGGTCTTGAACTCCTGGCCTCAAGCAATCATCCCACCTTAATGCCATTCTCATCAGCCTTTTCTTACCTTGTGAAAGAAGGCAGCGCCTGTCAGCACCATGGACAGCTCACAGGAGTAGTTGGAGTTGTAGAGCCAGGACTGATGCGGGATGTCCCACGCGTGGTACCGGCCAGGGAAGCCCACAATGCGGTCCCGTGCTTCTCTCCACACCCTTGAAACACAGAAGTACATGCACACACCTGAGTACATAGCTCTAAGATCACCAGAAATGTTTAAAATTACTGCCTCTATTTTGCAGGCTCTGGCCCTTAGGCTTTTACTTTTTTTTCCTTTTTAAAAAAAAAAATAAAATAAATCACAAACCAAATAGGATAAAATCAAATAAAAGCAGTGCCACATGTAGCTTTCTTAATAAGCACCTATTGTCCCTCTAACTTCTGGCAGTCAGCATCTCTCTGGCCCTTCCAGAAAGAATAAGCTGAAATAACATGGGAAGGGGCTTCCAGAATGGGGTATGTACAACAACCTGCTAACAAGTAGGCAGATAATATCAATTTCTATTCCTATTTTTAATCTCATTTAATTTCTAAAAAAAAGTTTTGTTTTTAATGCACTTGATATATTAGTTCAGTAGGACATATATGTCACTTATGTATACTGCATGCTTAACTTTTCTTTACTGGGCACATAATAAAAAAACAGATCACTGGTTTAACCACAGAAGACTACTGCCTGGGGCCAAAGTCCTAATTCCTAACACGGCAGGGCTGGGAGACACCTCCACGGTGAGAAGTGGTCTACAGAACCCTACAAACATAAGGTTTCATTAAATGCAAGAAATAAATTGAGAATTCAGTGTTTCAACAGAAACTTTTACGTATCTCTAAATTTATAGGTAAGGTATAACAAATAAAATCAGTCCCCAGTTTCACAGGTTACAATTAGAGAGCTGAAAGCACTTAAGCTCCACAGAACCCATCAGGCCTCAGGAGATTTAAACTGCCCGAGAAAGTCCCGTCACATGCAACTTCAATTCCTAAAACATGAAAGATGTCATTTCAAAAGAGTCCCTCTAATAAGTTTCAAAGCATCTAATCTAGTCCCACAGATGAGAAATCACAACTTCTATCACAATATAACAGCCTTATAGGTGGGCTTTTTTTTGACAACTGATTTTAATTGTGGCAAATATACGTAAAATGTGACCATCTTAATCATTTTTTTTTATTTCAGCATATTATGGGGGTACAGATATTTAGGTTACGTATGTTGCCCTTGCCTCCTCCTGCCCCCCAAGTCCGAGTTTCAAATATGTCCATCCTTCGGGTAAGTGTATGATTCTGTGGCACTAAGTACATTCACGCTGTTGTATAGCCATCGCCGTTCATCCATCTCCAGGACTTTTCCGTATTCCCAAGCTAAGCTGTCCCCATTAAACACTCACGCCCCCCTCGACCTGCCCCAGCCCCAGCAACCGCCAGTCTACTTTTCTGTCTCCATGAATTTACTCTAGGGACCTCATGCAAGTAGAATCACACAGTATTTATCCTTTTGCGTTGTGTACACTTCTGACTGTGATAAATAATGCTACGATCACCCATGTGCTGCTTTCTGTGTGGACAGACACTTTCAGTGCTCTGTGGCCCCTTTCTTTCACCTGCCCCTTAAGAATATCTCTCTCTCTTGAGTGCGTAAGTTAAAATTAGTCAAGATCTATCTTCTCCAGAGGGAAAAATTCTTACACTTATCCTTTCCTTTGAACTTAGGACTGTTTCATTCCCATTAAGGTGAAAAAAGCAAACTGGGGAGATTATTAAGAGAAAGCTTTTAGATCAAAGGATACCCACACGAATGAGAAAAGAGCCACGGTGAGAAAAGGTCAGGATCTGCAGCCAGAGATAATTCAGCACCTCCATTACCAGAGGCTAAGCCTCAAATTCAAATCATTTGTAAGAGACACATTAAAAGGCTTTCCATTATTCTCTGACCACCTGGAAATCTGCTGGGAAATGACACGGAAAAAGTCAAAAATCTTCCTAAATTGAGGGCCACAGAAGATAGCAAATATCAGCCATCTTAGCTTCAAACTCATCAAAGCTGGGCTCCTTATCAAAATCATTCTCGGGGCCTGGGGCAATTGGCAATCCTCCTGTTAACACCCCATGACTCTGTTCGGGGCTCCCAGTCCTCCAGCATGCACTAAACTGTGTCATGCTGTAGCAGCAACACAGCCCCTCTTCCCACCATCAACGATAACATCTCAACGGCAAAGACCATTCCCGGAGTCACTGCAGGACTTTCTTCCTTGCAGCAAAACAAGTGGCGAGAGCCAACTATTTATTATCACGTACAAAGGAATATACCTTAGCCAGGCACAGTGGCTCACACCTCTAATCCTAGCACTCTGGAGTCTGAGGCAGGAGGATCAGTTGAGCCAAGGTGTTCAAAACAAGCCTGGGCAACATAGCAAGACCCCACCTCTACAAAAACGAAAAAAAAATTAGCCGGGCATTGTCGTGCCCACCTGTAGTCCTAGCTTCTCAGAAGGATGAGGCCGAAGGAATGCCTGAGCCCAGGAACAGACAACCCACAGAATGAGAGAAAATATTTGTAATTCCTATCTCTGATAAGAGACTTGCGTCTAAATTAAATGCAAGAACTCTTACAACTCAATAAGAAAAACACGAATAACCCAAATAAAAACAAGCAAAGAATCTTGAATGGCCATGAGAAGATACACAAAAAGGCTAATTGGTCAATAAGCACATGAAAAGATGCTCAACATCATTAGTCATAAGAGAAAGGAAATCAGAAGTATAATGAGCCACCATTTACAATGACTAGGATGGCTATAAACAGAAAGCAACAAGTGTTGACGAGGATGCAGAGAAATTGGAACCCTCATACACTGCTGATGGGAATGTAAAATGGCGCAGCCACTTTGGAAAACCATCTGGCAGTTCTTCAAAATGTTAAAACAGTTATCACATGATCCAGCCATTCCACTCTTAAGTACAGACTCAAAAGAAATGAAATGTTTATACAGAAACTTACACATGAACCTTCATAGCAGCATGATTCATAATAGCCAGGAAGTAGAAATGACCCAAATGTCCATCAATGGATGACTGGATAAACAAAATATGGTATATCCATACAAAAGGAATAAAGTACAGGTACATGCTACAAGGTAGATGAACCTTAAAAACATCAAGTTTATGAAAGAGGCCAGTCATCAAAGGCTATAAATCGTATGATTCCATTTATATAAAATGTCCAGAATAGGCAAATCTACAGAGACACAAAGATTAGTGACCGTCTAGGACTTACAGGGGTTGGAGGAAAATGGGGAGTGACTGCTACTGGGCACAAGGTTTTTTTCGGTGGTGATGAAGACTTCTAAAATTAACCATGGTGATGGTTGCACAACTCTATAAATATACTAAAAACCACTGAACTGTATACTTAAATGAGTGAATTGTATGATTATGTTCAGTAAATGTTGCAAAAGAATGAATTGCAAGAGAAACGATCACACACTCGGGCATCACGGTAAATGTCAAATTGCTGTAAAAGTCTCTATATGCTTACCCTCAATTTCTGTACTTACCTCACTGTGGACAAATAATAAAGCTGTCCCTGAACCAACATACCGGTCCAAGCAGACTTAGAATAACCCTAATCTACTCCGTTCTCTTACCTGCAACATACCCTCAAGTGGGATGCTTAAGCCCCAACAGCAATTACTAAGACTCCAGAAAGCAGGAGAGGTGAGCGGCTGAGTGGAAGTTCTGGAGTGAGACAAACCTGGTTCGAAGCCCAGTTCTGTCTGCCACTGTAGCTCCTACTCAGCTCTGTTCTCTTGGATCTCAATTTACTAACATAAAATGGACACAACTACAATTGACATCATCAAATTTCAGGAGGATTAATGAGATAAACCAAAGTGCTCGGCTGGTCCCTGGCACACAGTGTGGGTTCCATAAATGTTAAGTGCCATCATCATCATCATCATCAGTCACCACCGCTGCCACACCCTCCTTCTCCTCTTTTACCTCTTGGATCTTTGCTTTCGACGCCCTCTTCCCATAAGAGGAAGGCCCAGGATTCCGGCACTGCTCCACTGCTCCAACACATAGTAACACGTTGATTCCGCCTGCCTGGGAGTTGTTTCCCCTTCCTCTGACAACAAAAACCTCAAATTTCCTTTAGAAAACTACCCATTGCTTCCACTCTTGGCCCACGTGGTTTGGGTTTAAGGATGGTATAACCGCAGCACCAGGAATAGGCAGGTAACCATGGTTTAGCCAATCAACGAATTCCCTCCCCCTGGCCTCCGAGGAAAAGCCCATCTGAGAGCCGAGCAGAACCCAGAGACGGAAAGAGGAGGAATCCTCCCGCCTGGAGGCCCTGGATCCGGCCGTGTCCTACGTCAGCCCTTACTAACTCTAAGGGTTTCTCAGTTACCATCGGCCAAGAAACTCATTTTGCTGTCTAATCCAAGTTTGATTTGCTTTTCTGTCACTTGCAAACTGAAGTGTGTCTTAAGAAAACTCAGTCCCTCACCGAAAGCCAAACATGATTTCGTCGTGGCGGAGGTGAGCGTCGTCGTCGATCGACAGGATGGCCTCCGTCTCGATTTCATTCCAGGGCAAGAATCGATTATTCAAACTGTTCTTCTCAGTACGAACCACCTGTGATGAGGAAGAAAAAGCACTCAAAATCAATGCGGCGTCACAGACGGCAAAACCAAAACTGCCTTTGGGTCAAAGGAGACTGTGGCTAAATTAACTGAATCATTTTGTGTGATTACTCACCACCTGGAAAATCTAGCATGTGCCTTTCAGGAATAAAAACTGCCTCATAATTCCACAAATGTACAAGGATTTCACATCTCAGCTTTATTCCTTTGTTTACTAATTTTCTTGCGAAACAAGCAAAGCTGAGGAATATTTTTACATATGCAATGAAGAGCCTAGGGAAATTAAAAAACAACTTTCCCAAGAGAACACAAGGTGGCAGAGCAGAACTGAGATTCCAATTCCCAGCTCTGGAATCCCCAAACATGCTCACAAATTTTAAAACCAAACTCAGAAATCTCTTGAGTCTATGTTATTTCTTATTTCTAAGGCCTTTTTTGGAGTATAAACCAAAAAAAAAAAAAAAAACAGCAAGCCCATCTTGTGGACATTACTTCCCTCACCTTTGCAGTTCCTACCTACAATGCTGACTACACACGCTCAAGCTTTTTTTCTTTTCAAGGTATAATTTATTCAGTAAGATAGTTCTGTGTCTATCAAATCCCAATTCAAAGAACATCTATCTAAAACAATTCATATACACAAAGCAGTATTTTCTTCATAAAAAGATGAGTGCCTCAAACAGTACATCATTTGAGTACTGAGTACATTTTGTACATGAAATGAGTACATTTTAACAAAAAATTTTTTATTTAAACCATCTCAGATAAACACAGTTTACCTTCGACGTGGGTGAGTAGCTCTGTTATTCACCTTGCCACCTCATACTAAAATAAATGATGACCACAATTAGTACTTTGATAGCTCACTTTATTTTTACACTATCTTTATCTAATTAGTCCACCTAATGAGGAGCCATCATTTCATTCTCAAAAACAAAGAGAAACTCAAAGAATAATCTCTTTAGAAAGCAAGGAAGGGGCACCTCACTCTCCACAGGCCGTGCTGCCTATACTGAGGCTAATCTCTGCCAGGCATGATGAACAGATTGGATCCCAGATCGTAAAGTTTCAGAATGTTTCAAAGGCACTCCGGGACCTCACTAGCATTGTCTTCTCAGCCTAAAACGTCTTTTCTTCCATTCTCCTCTTGAGACCCAGGCTCAGATGCCTCTTGTCACACCCTCCTTGTCAGAAACAATCATTTCTTCCACCTTCGTAAAGCAGAGTCCTCAACCGGCTACTAATTCATTCTAGCACACTTAGAATCCAATTAATTCGGAGCTGGAAGTGCCCTGGCGACCATATGGCCCAACTCTCACTTTATACATGGACAAACCAAGGCCCAGGATGATGTCATACAACTGGCAAGCTACAAGAGCCACAACTCTAACCCACACCTTCTGATTCCAAATTCAGTCCTTTTTTTGCCAAACTTACATTATTTTTGTCTTTTTTCTAGAGACAAGGTCTTGCTCTGTCGCCCAGGCTGCAGTGCAGTGTCATGATCACAGTTCACTGCAGCCTCGAACTCCTGGGCTCAAGCAATCCTCCTGCCTCAGCCTCCTGAGTAGCTAGGACTACAGGCATGTGCTAACATGCCCAGCTGTACTGGACTGCTTGGTGGGAGCAGAAAGAAAAGGAATAAGAAGATAACACAGTGAATTGGTTTTCCATTTATAACTTCAAATATGGGTCTGATGCAGTACAAGAAAATAGTGTGTTTTAGCTGAGACAAGTCTGCTTTAATTTATAAGAGAAAAGGTTGCCAGCAATCCCTGTGTTAACTGCAGGTAAACGTAAGTTAGAGCTTCACCATCAAATGAGAGGATGCACATAAAGACCACACACAGAGCCTAGCACATAGAAAATGCTCAAAATTAGCAATTACTGTAACATGAGCACTTCTTCCTAATTATCATACATTTTACATATGTTCTATAATTTATACATTTAATTTTATACATTTTATATATTTACATACATATTTATTTATTGAATAAACAAGCTTGTACCTTTCCAAGAAATTTAGTCGTGGTAAAACGAAAAAATATGGACTTACCTATGGTGAGAAGTGCTGAAACCTAGTTCTTATTTAGATATTAGTATGTCGAGTGACCTGCAGCAATAAAATTCTCAGTCTGATCCCTTACTGTGATTTAGTAAAGAGAGTAAGAGGGGGAGGTATTACCTAAAGAACTGACGTGCTGCAATTAGTAAGTCATTTGTGCAACCTGACTTTTCAGTAATTCCTTTAAACTCCTGTAATGCCTGCTGTTCATTTCTGATTTCTGGTAGCTTTGTTTTATATGATTTTCCTTTGAAGCCATGCAGCCCATTCTCAAACAGACAGAGGAAGCCACAGCCATAGCCACCAAGTTATTAAGTAAACCGTTGTTTAAAGGGAAAAAAGTAAGCCACCCAGACACACCAATATCTAGTGAAGCCGACCAGGCTTTGTACAGTCTTGGACCTGGAGAAGCTGGACTACGTCTTTCCTGTTAGCTTCCCCTAGAAATCACAGTTTTAGGAAATTATCATCTGATTCATTCAAGGGATATTTTTTAAAGCAGAGCGGGCACAGATGAAAACACACAGCGCACCCCCTTTCTAAGGGGTGCGCCTTGAGAACGCTCCGTCTTGCCCGAGGTCTAGCCACAAGTAAAGCCTTCAACAGCCTGCGAGGCAGCATCCCCAGCCAGAAAGTGGATGATGCCAAGAGTGCACTGCCAAGGCAGTTCCCCGAGTTTCCTCTCCCTGTCCCTAATAGACTACTGGGGAAATGATGTTAAAATAACTCCCCTGGCATGATCCTTAAGTTCCCAAAACACAGAACTCTTGTGCAATTTCAGTATCAACGGCTGGGAGGGAGGGAAAAGGGCAGGGAAAAATAATCTCATCTCAATAACTTTCATTTGGAAAAAATGGTGCTTTCTGGCTTCCCACTTCAGAGACCTTGCAGTCACCAAGGATGTGATAAAGCTCATCTCTGAACGTGCCGACTCCGCCTCCGCCCCGCCGCTCTGGTCCAAGCTCCATCGCCCTCACCTAGGCTGCTGCAAGTATTTTAACTGCTCCTGTTCTTTCCCTCAGGGTCCCACAAAAATCATGTGCCTCCCCAGCTCAACACCCTCCAACAGCATCCTGACACACGCAGGATAAAACCCAGGCTCCTTCCCACGGCCCGTGTGCTCCTGCACACGTGGCCCTGCCACCTTCTCCAGCCTCCTTTCAAACTCTCCTTCGCAACCACGCCAGCCCAGATGCACTGGGTACTGCTTCTTGCGCTTGCCAGTCCCATATATTCCTCCAGAATTTACACGGCCCATTCTTTCACTTCATTCAAGCTTCTGCTCAAATGTCACCTCTTCAAAGAGCCCTTCCAAGGCATCCATGCCCTTTATGAAGAGGAGAATGAAAAACTAAGACTGGGGCTGGCTGCCAAAAGACCGTCTCAGGAATCAGTGTGCATACAGTGGGGAGATAAGCAGTGTGTGAGTGGGCTGGGCTACGCTGTTAATAACAGAAGGATGTCCCTTTCATGACAGCCCACATTTTAAAAATCCAAAAGGACAGATTTTGAGATTCTCATTTCCACAGGATGCTCTGACAAGGCTACCCTACTTAATATCTTCCAGAATATAAAGCAGAGCGAGGGCGATGTGTAAACTGATCAGAATAAAGCAGTAACTCAAACCAAAATTGTTGGTGGGACTATGTATCACAAAGGGATCGTTTAGTGTTTCTGCTTCCAGAAGGGAGTAAGCTTCTACCAGACTCAATCTTCCTGCAGACAACAACTGTAAACTCTGGACAAAAATACCAAAAAAGCAAAAAGGAACTTCCTGAAAGCACAAGTGAAGTAAGAAGGCGAATTATGGAGGGTGCCGAAATCTAGCGGGAAGGAAATGCTGATACGGGGAGTTACTGTTGCTTTTACCCTGCGAGCAGGCCAGAGTCGGCACCACGAAGGACAGCGGAAACTCTCATGCAAAACCCAGTCTTTCGGCCTGAAGAATAAGAGGAAAGTGTTTGGGGCAGCCGGAGCCCCTAGAAAGAAAGGAGGAAACTCCAGAAAGGAGAAAGCCAGAGACGGGAGCTCTAAGTGCCGTGTCTGAACTGCCCAGTCTCTGCCCACCATGCATGCTCGGTGCATGTGAGCAAAGCAGCTCAATATAGAGGAACTCGACCAACATGTGAGTTGCATTCGAGAGATGGAACCTTTCGGTATGAGTCCAACAAAATTAACTGCCTGCTAAAACAAAACGATCAATACTTCCCAGGATAAAAAATCAAAGAAACCCATGCTGAGGCTTGTTCACAGTCAAACTGCTGAAAATCAAATATTAAAAAAAAAAATCCTGAAAGCAGCCAGAGCCACACATTACATACAGAGAAACAAACATTTGGAAACCATCGACAGATCATCAGAACAATGGAGGTCTGGAAACAGTGGAACCTCTTCAAGGTGCCCAGTGGTGGTCCTCAAGCTAGTGGAGTTTTTTTCAGAAGACTAGATCTCAAGTCCCTTGTCATAATAATACTCTCTCTTTGACTTCCATTAGATATCTTTGCTGTCACGTTCCAGGAGCTAAGGAACCCGACTCAAGTGTTTACAAAACATACAGCACCTGGGCGAGAGCAAACACGCACCATCGCCTGTGTGTTCAGCAGTCCTGCGCCATCCAGATAGAGACCCACTTCACCTGGTGGCAACTGCTCCCATCTCTCTGCAAGTCCTGTCTCCTTGCCCAGCCACTACCCATCTGAGCTGCAGTTCTCTTTACATAGAGCACTTGGAACAGGAGTGCCCAAGGATGGTAGTGATGAAGATCACCTTCAGTCTAAGCTAGAGCTCTTTATTATGGAAATAATAATTAGAAAAGAATAATTTTAAGTCCTATCAGGTACCCCCTAAGACAATCCTCCTCCACTTAAATAGCTAGGGCTCAAAAGACTTCATAGCCCACAAATATCCAGCATTTATGCCTATTGCTTAGTTAGGAACTTGAGCGTAAGAGAAGCACAAATTGCTCAGCATTTTCTGCAATGGCATGGAGGTTCCTGGGTTGATTTGTTTAGCCAATATGCTGATTTCGAATCATCCTGCCTGAAGGACTGGAATCTGAGAGATTGCCTGGGAACCACCCTGGTGCTAAATTTATATAAAGATTTATTAACCTTAATGTAATGAATAGGTTATGTCTACATCTAGGTAGAAAAACCACTCTGAAACTTATCATAGTAGTGCCATTTTCCTGTAGGGGAGAGAGCTACCAGCCTCTCTCTAGTCCTGATACCTGAGTCTACACCTAAGGGGTCAGTAATTTCAACTGCCCAAAACACCTGCTTCTCTTAAACAGAAAGCATAGTCAGAATATTTAGAGAATGGAGGGAAATTCTCCAGCTTGAAGTTGTTTCCTCTTTTTTTAAAAGAACTAGAAAAAATTTGTATTCCTACTATGAGAAAGCTATTTAGATGGCCTCCTATTTGGAAAGGTTCTGGCATCTTCCAACTAGGTATTGTATTATTGCAATGGGCTGCCCAGTAATCAAAGAGGACTACTTATTTCCCACCAGAGTTAAAAGAAAGGATTAGTTCTGGTAAGTTCTCTGATGAATTTCAGTCATTGTTAACCGGGTGGCACCAGCTTCTCTATAGCCCTATGAAAATCAAAGAAAACTCAGGAAAAAATGGAAAACAAAGGCTGCTTTATTATTCTACTATTTGAGCAGCATCTACCTTTTCGTAGAGCAAATCCTTTTTTTTTTTTTTTTAATTTCAATGACACTCATGAAATTGAGAAAGAAAAGAAGTGAAATTTATTTTGGAAGAAGTCTATAATAGAAATCTCCCTATTTATAAAACTTTTCTTATTACACAAGATAAACTCTAGGATCAAAAGTCTTTATAACCCTATAGTCTTTGAATAGCCTCGGATTATAAATTAAATAATACAAGAAAAGATTAGCAGCAACAGTAAGAAAGAAAATTTAAAGCAAAGATTGTGAGGTGCTTTGTCCATGAGTAAGTGCGTAGTAACAGCTACGGCACAAAGAGAAATGACGTCGAGGACGCCAGAAGCCCGTATCAATGAAGTGAGCTAAAGCTCCGTAACACAGGCAGAATACACACACTGCCTTCCATCTCCTTTGACATTACGGGTAAGAAGGAATCATATAATCATTGAGCACCTTTCTAGAATCCCTCCTTGTCTTATCTTGGATTTCTCTTTAACCCTGAGGTCAAAAAAGCTAATTAACTTATCAAAGATCACAAATTGACTACTTAATCCCGGGTCTGTATTACTCCAAATCTCATACTTTTCTTATTACAGCATGCTGCTGCTCAGAAAATAATTCAAATGAATTAGTTTCCCAATGAAATAAATTTTTTGAAAACTGGAATTCTGGCAACGCATGGCCCATCAGACCTTTTGCCCTTCCTTGCTACCTTTTTCTGGAAAGTACTTATGCTGCAGGTTAATTAGTTGGCGTTTTGCTTAAGACTTGCTCTAAGGCTTCCTGTTTAAGACAGACAGGTTGCCATCTCTCTTCTAGACTGCCAAGTTTAATTCAGCAGGTGGATAAACAAAGTCCTCAGAACTAAAGCCCTGTCCTGCATATTTAGCTATTACTTGTCCTGTAAAATATAACACCTAACCATGAGAGATGGAGTAAAAAATGAGAAAGAATCTACTAGGCACTCTAGAAAAGAAGGTTCAGTTGGGGTTAGTTGTCCAACTCCCAAATATCACACCCCGAATCCAGTCTTCAGAAACACCGCATAACATCCTGGGAAACGACACAGGTCTTCTTCCTAAATCCTTCAGGAAGTGATTAAAACAGCAGTTTCTGCAATCGGACGTACTAAAGCTCAGCTCCTCCATTACTCACAGTGACCTCGGCCAAATTAATGAACCTCTCTAAGCCTCACTCCCACAGATATAAAATGAAGAAACAGTGATAATGATATGTCATATAATGTTAATTATAGTGCCTAGATCCTAAGTGTTAACTTTCTCATCACTGTTACTATAAGATGACTGAAGGGGTTTTGTAAACCTTCCTGGCTCCAGTATCAATTTCCGTTTTGGAGGCCTCAGGAGATTTAGGAATTGAGTAGCAACAGTGCAACTGGCAAGGCCCGTACGGATTTAAAAAAAAAAAAAAAAAAAAAGTGTACGTATATTCCTCTCTACTAAAAGTTAAGATAGCTACAGAAAGATGGAAAACGGATTACAAGAGAAATATTAATACTATTTCATACAGTAAAACTGCTCTTTTTTCTGTTACCATGATGGGGACGCCAATGTCAGGCCACAGAAGGTCCTCTGACGGCAGCTTGGGAGAATTCCACACCACCACCACCTTGTTCAGGTAAGGGAGGCCATTGAGCCTCTCCAAAGAGTTCATAAGCACTTCCTCCCGCTCGTAAGTCAGCATGACGACCGTGAACTGCTCTCGCGGAACATTGCCTCCAAGTGCTGCCTGGAACTCCTTGCCAGAGCCCCCAGCTCCACCACCAATAGGCCGAAATCCAGTCCCTGAGCCCAAAAATTTGGCCTCTGAGGGCAACACAGGGTCAAAGGGCGTGTGGGGGAAAAGATGGAACGGCCCTGGAGCAGAGTTCCAGCTGCGGTAAAAGTCAGTGACAGTCAAAGTAAAGTTGCGGAGGTATTTGGGTGAGGCGTAAGGTGGCTCTGTTTCCACCGGCCCCAGGTCCAGGTCCCCGTTATCGGCCATGTTGGGGTCGGTCCCCGCCGCCTTGCCTGACCGATGGGGGATCTCAGCTGCTGCCTCTTCCCGGATGGGAGCAGCTGGGATCTGTATGCGAGTCCTAATCATAGCCAGCACAGTATTAAAAATACTGTCAGCAGTGGAGAAGTAAGTCTCCCAGAGAAAGCGGCCTTGCCGCCTCATAGCCAGGAGGTCACTATCAGAGAGACTCCTTAACAGGAAATGGACCTCGGTAACACGTGGCTTGGGCACCACCAGGGCCGCCTCATTCCACTGCAGCATGTCCTGGTACGGAAGCTGCACTTGCTCCCCCAGCACCACGGGGACGGCACCGACTTCTAGGGCTTCAAAGAGCCGTGTTGCACACCCAGATGAAATAACCAAGTGCGGGTCCCCGGGGGTGATGATGAGGGCAAAGGTGGAAAGCTTCAGTAATTCTAAGCGGTCCTCCCGCTCCCCACACAGCGCCCACTCAGTAGGCAGGCTGGGTTTAGGCTGGTTTTTGCAGGTAAATTCCACCAGGACCTGATCTAGTTTGCTGTCCTGCACTGCCTTCAGGGTGGCAATGATCCGGTCGTCATAGTCAGCTGGAGGATCGCCCTCCATTTCTTCTTCAAAGGAGCGGGCCTCCTGAAGGCTGGATCTCAGCGACTCGATCTTCTCACCCTGGAAGGTGAAGAGATATTTCCGCTTAACTGGCACCTGTGGTGGGATTTCCATGAAGTTGGGTTCGGACATGGCATGGACTAGTGGCGAAACTACCAAGTCAAAGCCAGGTCTGTACTGGACAGCATAGAAAGTGGACTGGGCCACCATGGCACGGCCCGTACTGACGTTATATAGTAAATTCTGTGTGTCTGACTTCCGCGACAGATTGATGATGACATGGTTGTGTCCATCTCTCCGCCAATGCGGCAGAGAGTACAACTGCTTCTCAAGTTCAGCGGGCCGTAGCACTACCGGTTCCTGCATTTCTCCCACTAGTATCACATACAGGCAGGCGATGTCCGCATTTTCTGTAACATAAACGTTGGCTCGCGCTGTAGCCTGAAACGCCTGCTTGACCAAGGGATCCAGGTAGCTGCCAAGGGCAAACTGGTCACTGTCATAAACATAGACCGGAAAACCAGAGGTGAGAGGGCAACGAGAATAATCAAAACAGTTATGTAGCCGGCAACCCCGGATGACCTTTGGGGGAGGAAGGCCAGCATCATCCTTCTCTGGGAGCAATCGGATGGGCAGAGAAAGTTTGGGCTGGTTTTGGGCCATCAGCTCTTTGTAAGAATGCTCGGTCTGGCTAATGACGTTCTTGAGCTGCAGCAGGTCCTGCTTGGCATTCTCAATGCTCTTCTTGCAGGCTTCGATCTTCAGATTCAGCTTGGCGATTTCACTGTTCAGCTCTTGCCGCTTGGCTTCTAGCTGTAAGAGCTCTTCGCTCACTGACTCGCGAATGCGGCAGAGATCCAGCACGTGCTTTACCTCGCAGAGCTCGTTACCGGCCCGTGGGCCAAAAATCCGCTTGCCGGCCTCATCAGCCTCATCCAGAGTGGTGAGATAGTAGTGGGCGATGAGGGGGAAGAACACCAGGATGACGAAGAGGGTGAAGCTGAGCCAGGTGAGGCGGATGCGGTTGGACCACCGCAGCATGCAGGTCTGCCCTCCGTTCCCCACCCCCCCATTCCGCAACATGGTATAGCCCGTCATGAGTGCCCTGTGGCTCTGCCCCTCTGGTCACGTCGGCTCACTCGCCATAACCATGAGCTTCTGCGCGACAAAACTCAACCTCGTTTCATTCACACATTCGTTTCCAGAAGAGTCAGCGTGCTCCCGGTACAAGGCACCAGATAAAATGGAAATTTCATTTTCCTCAGCTGCAACCGAAATGGTCTCTGACCCTATTCCAGCAGATTTTAAGTTCTGGTTGTTGACCAAAAAACATGTCCTTAATCTTTATCAAACGGTAAAAGGTACCACATTGTGGCCGAGATGAAAGGGAGGAGGTTCCTGATGATAAAACGCAGGAAAAATACCCTGGAATCAGACAGACGTTTTCAACTGCCATAGCTCTTGTTCCTTGGTGTTGCTGACCAACAAATATGCATAGTTCTTAGTCAGAGTTTTACAGTGGTTGGTTAGAACAGAAAGAAATGCCAGCCTCTTATCAATGTCATTGTCAACACTCGGGCCTGCAAAAGAAAGAGAATCATGTCAGTCTTAAAGAGATTATATTCAACACCCTCCCTAGCACATTTCTAGAAAATGCTTCAACCTTGTAAGATGGAACAACGGTTGGAACAACGGTGTTATCTTAAAGAACATTATAAGGCCAATAGAGAGACTTTGTTCGGTGTGGGTATTTTACTCGTGGTTAATAAGAAATGGAGAAAGGTAAGTGCCCAAAACAGCTTCAGTTTATGCCCCCCTCATCATCCACCCTCTTCCTAGTTAACTGGATCTAGAGCAGCATTAGGGCCCCTATAACATTATGTTGAACTAAATCCAACAGAGGGCACAGATGTCTGCAGTAACAACTTGTTATTCTATTCTGGACCTGGGCATCATCTTTAGATGAAGAGAAACACCTTCCTATCCAACCTGGGTAGCTCGCTTTCACGCCTAACATGAAAGTCTCCTTTTGAACTACTTAACAAAAAAAAAAAAAAAAAAGACTGCGAGAAGCTCAGTTTGTTAAATTTAGAGTTGAAAAGGGTTGAAGGGAATTCTTTTGATCTTTACCCAGTAGTAGATGCAGTAATCCAGGGACAAAATGTACTTCCCAGTTTGCTCCTCATTTATCTTCCATTAGCAGACATCATGTGCTCTTTCTTAAAATATAAATAGCAACTTGGTCTTTTAGAAAGAACACTATACTTAGAAGTGAGAGGCATTATTCCTCATCCTTTGGGGACAGACTTGCTATCAGACCTCAGTTTCCTAAGCTTCTAAAATGGAGATAAGTGCATGGAGATAACAATATATTATGTTGCTAGCTATGAAAATAAAGCATAGAAGATGTGAGGGTACTTTAGGCTAATCAATTCTGAGGCATTCCCAGTCCTGTTCTTTTATCGAACTTCACTATCACAGGCTACAGAAACTTTCTGCTTGTTTTCCTCCAAATTCAACACATCTAGAAGAATTCATAATATTCTGTGCCAAAGAATATTCCCTCTTTCATTCATTTCTTCCAAAAAAAATTCATCATACTTTTAACATGTCTAAGACATGTTAAGTCTAACTGTGGGATAATCTAGATGTATAACAATCCTTGACCTCATGGAACTTCCTTTAGCCTAAGAGATAAGATGTAAACGAACAACAGGGCACTGCCGCAAGAAGCATAAAACAAGTAGCACTTCACAGAGGCACAGTCGCTCTACCTACAGTCTACCTTTGTTAAAGATGTGTAACTATTAAAGGTTTGGCAGAGTCTTCTCTCCCTGTAAGTGAAAACAAAAAGTTGATGACACTGTTACTAAAAGGTTTAAGTATTTGGATAATCTACACTTGGATAATTAACAGCTGACCAAATACTCCAAATAACGTAGGTCAGTATTTCCAAAGCATTTGCATTATCCTTTTGACTCAAATGTTTAAATCTCTTGTTGCTTTCTAAAGAATATTCTCTGCACTTATGATCAAATCATAAAGAAACAATGGAGTCAGAGTAAAAAAAAAAAAAAACATCATCAAGGCCATCCAGATGGTTCGCTCCTTCCTTACCACGTGTTTCAGGATCCTTCCTTTCTGTGACTTACGTAGCGTTACACTTCAGCACACGATTTCTTGAAATAGCGAACTCCAGGGCTTGCTCTCCTGATTCAAAAGAAAATAGAAAAATGACACACTGTTTGAATAATACTCAATACTGAAGGTGCTATTAAAGAATTTATTTAATGTCCCCTATGAAAAGGCTTCCCTTATGTATATAAGGTGACCGAAGAGTTTACTGTCCAGAGACTCCTTGAAGTGAAAGGGGGACTATTAATAAATACACCAGTCTACAGGTATGAACTAGGACTCTCATAGGCAAACCATCCACATATGATATCTATTTTTGTGCTCTAAGAGGAAATAAAACAAAACACCAAAATATGGAAAGTCTTCGTTTTTTTAAAAGTATATACCAGCCAGGTGTGGTGGCTCACGCCTATAATTCCGGCACTTTAGGAGGCCGAGGCGGGAAAGATTGCTTGAGGCCAGGTGTTCAAGATCAGCCTGGGCAACATAGCAAGACCACTCTAAAAAAATATATATTTTTTTAAATTAGCCAGGTGCATGCCAACTGTAGTCCCAGATACTCAGGAGGAGGAGGTGGGAGGATCTCGTGAGCCCAGGAGTTTGAGGCTGCAAGGAGCTATGATCTGGCTACTGCACCTCATCTCTTAAAAAAAAAAAAAAAAAGTCCAATAGCACAAACTTTCCTTTCTAAACAGCTAATTAAATTATTTCAAGCACAAAAGAAAAAGAAAATCCTCAGAATCTCTTCTGTCATTCTCTAGAAAATGATAATGAACATGTTAGCAACTAGAAATGTCACTGAAACACTGATTATGAGCCATCTTCAGACATTTTTTCACTGCAAATACAATATACATGTTATTAATTCTCAGTCACCTGCCGCAGCATTTAATGTCTAACTTCTCAGCTACTTTTCCTGCCCCTACGATGCTACACACAGCAACCGGGATCATCTTCTTAGAACATGAATTAGAGGACTCTCCCCTCCTTGAACGTTTTCATCGGCTTTGCACTGTACTGTAACTAGCCCCGGGGACCTACCTATCTCATTTGCCATCGCTGTTCCCCTGCTCACTCAACTGCAGCTACACTGGGCCTTTCAACTGCCCCACCAAGCCAAGCTCTTCACTGCCTCAGAATCTTTCTGTTAATACTTGCTCTTCCTTTTGTCTGATAGGTTCTTCCCCAGCCTTTCCCCTGGTTGACACTTTCTCATCCTCCAGGTCTTTTAAAGTAGTCCTTCTTATCCACTGACGCTTTCCAGCATTGATGTATCCATTTCCTTCATAATATCTTTTTGTTTATTTATTTATTACCTACCTATCCCCACCAAAGCCTAATCCTTAACGCAGGAACTTTGTCTGCATGGATCACTGCTACATCACCACACCCATTTCTCATCCTACAAATTCTCAATTCTCCCCTTGATTTCTGTACTTTTTTGGCACCTATTTCCCTGACTCATTCCTCCTTTCTGCTTTGCTGGCACCCAGTTTTCCTCCTGCCTCATACTGAAAGTGTTCCGCAAGGCTCTCAACATAACCTATTAATGAATCCATCCACCTACACGACTTTAACCCTCACCCCTAGTCAGATTACCTCCAAAGACACACTCCGACCCGAGCCTTTCTGCTTTCTACTGGTAGTCGAGGATATCCAACTCCCTAAAGGATACCCTCCTAGGGCACGTCATGTCACTTCATGCTTCCAAATATTAATAACGTCCTCTTTCCAATAACTTCTAGCTCTGTCCAAGATACTACATTCTTCCAGTCTTACAAGCTAGAAACAACATGATATCCAGGAAAGAGTACAGACCTCAGAGCCAGCTAGGTCTGGATCAGATCCCACTGTATAAGCTGTTAGATGGTCACTGAACCACTCTGAGGCACAGTTCTTTCAACTGTAAAAAGATAACAACACTCATGTTCAGGATTGTTATAAAAATTAGACAGCGAGTAAAAAATTGTAAAGTAGTCTATTATAAGTGTTGGAGTGATTTTTAATTTCTCCAACTCCTCCACATCTGATCTCCTGACAAATAATATCAATTCTTTTTTGTAATAATAATTACAATGCTAGGTTAACAATCCTTTTTCACCAACACTTTGAAGAATCCTCTGGATTTCATCATTGCTACTGAGAAAGGAGATGTCAGTTTAATTGTATCCTGTGGGTATTCTGACTTTGCATTCAGTTGTCTTAAGATCTTTTTGTCTTTAGAGTCCTGCAGTTTCAATACGAAGGTTCTACATGTAGAATTTTGCTTTGTTTTTGGCTCAGGTCTCATTGAACTTTCTGAATCTTAGGATTCGTATCTTTCATTAATCTAGAAAATTCTCAGCTATTATTTCTCTGAATATTCTCTGTACCTTATTCTCTCCTTGAACTCCTCCTATTAGATCACTAGATGTATGTCAGACCTCCTCATTCCATTCTCCATGTCTTTTAACCTCTCTCTCATATTTTCTCTCTGTCCTTTGTGCTACCTATGGAATTTTCCTGAGAGCTATCTAGTTTAGAGGTCAGGAAATTTTTCCAGTAAAGGGCCAGAGAGTACATATTTTACATTTTTTAGGTCATATACAGTCTCTGTTGCATATTTTGCCTTTTTTTTTTTTTCAAACACCTTTTAAAATGTGAAAACCAGGCTGGCTGGGGTGACTCATATCTATAATCCCAGCACTTTGGGAGGACAGGGGAGAATCACTCGAGTCCAGGAGTTCAAGACCAGCCTGGGCAATACAGTGAGACCTGTCTC